TTTCTTTTTGTTTTTCATTGTTTTATCGTTTTACCTTGTTTTTTTTATTTTTACTTTTTCTTTTCTTTTTCTCCTGGTTTAAGAATGAAAAAAAAGTACCGGTATGGGACAGGAAGAAGCGAAAGAAGGAATGAGTAAACGAATGAAATGTATGAACTAGATCATGTCATCTCACATCACCCCAAAGGAGGAAAAAAAAAAACTAGATGGGCACACTAAATTCAATCCAATCCAATCAACACACGGCGGTTTTCAAAACACATGATGTCAACCCCACTCAACCTCCCAAGACAAGAGTATGATACCGTACGATTTTTTATTTTTTTCTTCCTTCCTTTTCCTTCCTTCTCCTTCCTCCACTCCCCCTCCCTACCTACCCTACCGTAATCCATCACCCATCATACGGTAGTTACGATCCACCATCAGTTCCACAAATGATGTATTATATCCCACCGGTACCTTACGATACTTTACCATGATGAGGCTTTTTTTTTCATGTCCATGTCTATACCCCTGCGATGACCGGAGCATTATTATTATTATTCTTGCCTTTTTTTTTTTGCACTTCTTAAGTCTAAGGTGGTTTATTGTATTGGGGAATTAGTGCTATTTGATTTTTTTTAATTTTTTTATATACTTATATTTGGTGGATTGGAAAGGGGGAGGTAAGNTTACCCTCCTGCTGGGATCGTTTCACGGGAGGAAACACAGGCAGACGGACAGACAGAGGACAGTCAGGGAGAAAGGAGTTCAGGAAAGGAGAGGAATCTTCCCTTCACACAGAGACGCACAAAATTATGGGGAGAATGATCAGGCCGGCAACTCACAGAACGAGGTTCCTGATTCTGGCGTTTGTTGTGATTGTTTATTTCAACTACGTCATCTCGCCAGAATTCGGGAATGGTGGCTCCAGCTTCAAACTAAACCGTCCCGGATCATCGCCATCAGGACTCGGCATACTCAGCAGCGGTGGAAAGGGAAGGGAAGGGAAGGGGGAGGAGGGTCCCCGATACGGGAATCCCATACAATTCGATTTCAAAGGCAGTGGTAGGGCTGCTGGGGATAGCAGGCGGGCCCACGAGATCAAGGAGACTATGAGCCGGACCTTTTGGAAGTATAGGCTTGGAGCTTGGGGCAGCGATGAAATTATGCCGATTAGTGGGGATGGGAAAACTACAAGGTGGGGGAACCTTTTTTTTTCCCCCCACGTTCTCTCTCCCGAAGTTGCCGGCGCCCGCCTTGTTCTCGCGTTCGCGCCTCAGCTGGGCTGGGGATCTCTCCCTCCCTTCTCCCTTTCTTTTTCTTCTCCTCTGGAGCTCAAGCTAATTTTGCCTTTTGTAGGAATGGATGGGCAGCGACTATTGTGGATACCTTGACGACGACCGCCATGATGGGTCTTGAGGAGGAGTTTAAGCTTGTGCGTGATAATCCGGGCAAAGTGATAGTGTGTGATGCCGATTCTGGGGTGGTATTTTTTTTATAGGAATTAAATTTCACGCTCGGAATCGATTTTAGTAAGGCTACAGACCTTGTCGATCCCTTTGAGACGACTATCCGGTGGGCTCCAGCTCCCCCTGGTCCCTTCTACTAGCGTCATGCTGATATCTGATAGCTATCTCGGAGCTCTGGTTTCCACTGTGGAGCTCATTGACAACGGCGTTGTCCGCAGAGGACTTGTGTCTGAGCAGGAAAGGAATGCCCTGGTAGCTAAAGCCGTGGAGCTAGCCGATAAACTAGCGTCTGGTTTCGATTCCCCGTCTGGTATGATATGGCCCAGAATCAACTTCGATACAAATAAAGGTTGCAGAGAAGATGGGAGAGAAGTGAGATTGCATAACCATCCTACAATTGGCCCCGCCCGAGCCGGAACCAATTGGCTAGAGAACAAAATTCTTAGCAAACTTACTGGAAATGATATATACGGGAAGAATGCAACACGTGCTTGGAAGTATGCCTTGATTCCCCATCCCATTGTTTCTGAAGCTTGATAGGCTTATTAGCCCTGTATTTATTCATTTTCTCTTTTTCTTTAGGAAGCTCGTCTGGAACGAGTAAGTGTGAAGCTCGGCTCGGGATTTTGCCCTTTCTGACGATACGGGACGTAGGTACATAGAGGATTGGCCGGGCCTTGTTCAGTAAGAGTTTCAGCGCTCTGTGCTTCTGATAGATAATCAGACAGATTTCTGACAAATACTTTTAGGTCTCCGTTTGATATCATGACCGGCAAATCGATTGACAAAGATAGAAGTTTGGGGGGAGGCCACGACTCGTAAGGGAACTTCCGGATGTCTTGGGTATTGATATCCCCGGCTGTTTACTGATACCTACCGGTGTCAATGATAGATATTACGAAGTTGGCAGCCTGTTGTTCCATTGGCCGGCTATGAGATAGGAGCTAACCTTTCGTCAATAGTATCTCATCAAGGCACAAATATTAGCGCCCAAGGACCGGTACGCAAATGTGTATGGCGAGAGGTGGGTGAAAGCTGTCGAGTCCACAATTAAACACCTCGCCCAATGGTCGACACCGGGAAGGGGTCGTCAAAGAGGCAAGTTGTTCCTCGCTCAATGGAAGAATGGTCTTTTAACCAGCGAGATGGGCCACCTCGCATGCTTCGCCGGCGGGAACTTCATATTGGGAGGGAAATATCTCGGTAGAAGAGACTTTGTACAGTTTGGTCTGGACGTCGTCGACGGATGCCACGAGACCTACGTCAGCACGATTACACGCATCGGGCCTGAACTCTTCGCCTGGACACCGGCAGATAAGAGGATCGTCCCTGTGCTCCAGCCTGAGCATGAAGGGCAACGGGAACAGAAAAGTAATGCAGGATTTTGGGTCACGAACGCTAGGTATCTGCTGCGTCCCGAAACCGTGGAGTCATATTTCTATGCATACAGAGCGACAGGTAACCAGATGTACCAAGAATGGGCGTGGGATGCGTACAAGTATGTCATTCCTATTTGGTGTGTGATGGTTGGGGGCGATCTACTTTTGAGTGCCCGATTGACTTCCTGTTTCTTTCTTTCTTTCTTCCCACTTGTATATTGCTCCCGGCCCCCATATAGTGCAGTACACTGATTTGTGATACCCTTCAATACAGGGCCTACATGAAGACAACCATAGTGGAGTTCGGATATGCTTCGATTAAAGATGTCACTTTGCCTGAAGGAGGTGGTCTGACTGATCAAGCAGAGAGTTTCTGGGGAGGTATGTCTATCATTTCCCTTCCCCTCCCCGATATTTCTTCCTTCCAGGTACCCTTTCCGGATCTTCCCTTCAAGATCTTTTTTTTTTTTTTACACGCGGTCTAGCCCGGTCAATCCCTATTCCTTTTTTTCCCCCTAACTCCACTACCGGTGAGGTTTAAATTACTCTTTCACTTATCCTCAATCCCTCACTCTCTTGCGACAATTTGATTTTCGTCCCCACATGACCGCTTTCCTATGCTGATTATCGCCTCACTTGTCCCCGGGGCGCTGGGATTGGATGTTCCGTGCTTCCAGCCGAGACATTGAAGTAAGCTACAATCTATTATCCCCACCTTTTTTCTTTCCTCCCTCCCTCCCTCGAAAAATGTGCTCGCTTGATTTTTATTTTATTTTATTTTTACNATCATCGTTAATACCCCGCTCCGTCCAGAATACTGACGAAGAGGGATGAAATAGAACTTACTGCCTCGACCACCGCACTGAAACTGCCCACAAATGCGCTCAGGAAGGCCGCTGGGCTGCTGCACGGCGTGAAAAGGACTTTCCCCACTTCCCCCACCGCTCCAACGAGACCCAAAACCCGCAGCCTCCTGCAGACCAACTGCGCCCATCCGAAATGCAAAACGATGATAAACACCCCCCGCGACCCAGCCGTGAACTGCACAGCCTGTCAAAAGCAATACTGTCTCTCCCACCGTCTGCAAGACCAGCACGACTGCGACAATGTCAAGCCCCCACGGCCTCCCGTAGCTACTGCCAATGAGAAGGCAAGGACCGCACTATCCCGCTTCAAAGCGTGGACTTCTTCTAAATCCGATAAAGTCATTCAATCAACTCACCCGGGAGCCTCGCAGGTTGCGGAGCTGAATAAGCTCAAGCGTGCAGCTAAGGGCGATGACAAAGTCCCCGTTGGGGAACGCGTGTACGTGTATGTTGAAGCGGAGGCTAGAATGACCACTTCGAAGTTACCTAAAGGGGAGTTCTACTACTCAACGGAATGGACCGTAGGCAGGGTGCTGGACAAGGCGGCGCAGAGCCTGCAGGTTGCGAATTTGAATAATAAGGCTGATGACGATGAGAAGAAGTTGAGGGTTTTCCACGTCGAGGGTGGGAGAGTGTTGGGTTTTGGGGAGAAGATTGGGGACGCCGTGGTAAATGGAAATACCATTGTTTTGTTGAGGGGGCTGCGGATGCCTGAATTGATGGTGTAGTTTGGATATTGCTTGATATTATGCCCGCATACGTCGGGGGTTTGTCTTGTGTGCACTGGGGTGCTGTTGCTGCTGATGCCTGTTTGCGTGTGTGTGTGTGTGGGTGAGGTTGTATCATAGGGGTGCTGCATTTCTTGCTTGGTTGCGTGCTCGAGCCACTGTATTTGGCTTGCTTTCTTGGTCCTTGTGGATTCCCTATAAGCGCTATTTGTGGGTTATCATGTGGGGTGGTATATTTTTGTCTCATGAATTTGCAACTATTTCCGAAGATTTTCAAAGTGTCTTCTGCTGTTTCCGGCACTAGGTCATGTGTGGCTTGATAAACCATTGCTGATATCATACTTGACGATGCCATGCGCTGAATTTTTCTCGTCCAAAGTGGTGGGTTGCTCTACCAGTCTACAGCCCCGGTACCCCGCTAGAATGCCCCACTAGCGCTACGGTATGCCAGCGATATCTTATTGAGGACTCTTAATTGGTGTGAAGCTGCGACAGAAATTCGGGAGTTCAGTCCATCCTCCGGGGCACTCTGGAATTTGCTTTATTAGGTCAACAATTGTATTATCTGCTGTGTTAGGCTGGATGGCGCAACGGTAGCGCGTCTGACTCCAGATCAGAAGGTTGCGTGTTCAAATCACGTTCCGGTCATTTTTTTTATTCCTATTAGTTCCTCCTCTCTGGCTATGATATCATACCACGCCGCCGGTGCTTTTCAATGGTGCTCGGGTTTGCTGTTTTTGCAGAGGTGACTTAGTTTTTAGGGTTAAGTCGGAAATTGCAAGGGCTGATGTATGATACAAGCGTGGCTAGCCAATGATCTTCTGGGACGCTTTCTTATAATCTCAAGCTTTATGTCAATATCAAAATACAGGCACCAGTATCCAGCCAAGGGAGGAAGTATGGTTTGAGGCCGAGAACGAGGAGGAGATACGGTAGCTTGGGAGACTATGCAGAGTGGAAAGATATCTGGAACGATAGACAGAGGGTACGTGTAGATTGACTTGTCGATTTCTTTCCTTCTTCCTTCTTTATTTTGGATTCTTAATGTATCACGTCCTACTTTTACGAATAATGAGTGTCTATATATAATATGTACAAGCACAAGTACCCGTAAGAAAGTCAGTGAACAGTTAATCCAGGCCAACCCACAGAACAACCCCTGCCCTGTGCACCTATTATCACTCGAGGCGTATCAGGATCTGGATCTACAGTTGCCATTGTAACGGAAACGGTTGGTTGGTATTGGTATGGGTGTCGTCATGTGAATGATCGTGAGCACAGGAATGCCAGAATTATCGGAACGCCAGGACCGTATTGACGACAGGAATTGTACACAAAACAGGAATAAGAGCAGGCTTGAAGGTCAGATCCTTGGAATGACGGAGGCCGTACCACACCAGATAGTGAAATTTGTACCGTACATGTTGATTGCCATCGTCGCCGTTCCGTTAAGGTATCATACCCATAGTAATACGGGATGCCGAAGGGTCGACTCCGTATTCCATCCTTTCCAAACTCGCACAGTAAGTTAACCCCCCCAAAATCGAAGCAAGAAGCACCTCCAACGCGGGGCCGAACTCCCCCCCNATGAGGGGGAGAGAATACGGTAGGCAACTATCGCGTCTACATCCAGCTAGCTCTAGGGGCGGGGGGGGGATGAGGAAAAGGGATGATGATGAAGGAGCCTCGGGAAGGGCTGTCGAGAAACAAGTGATAAATCGAGACAAGGCAAGACAAAAAACGGTTTGTTTGGATTAGTTATTATCATCACCGCGGCACCACCACGGAGCAGTAATGCATGTTTTACCGCAGTGGGTACTCGTACAGTGCTAGAGTAGGGGAAGATGGAGTGATAGGTATTGTATGATCATGTCGCCCCAAAGTTCAGACGATTTTCTGTCGGTCTCTCTCTCACCTACACACCACCACTTTCCCTTTTGCCTTGGATAATGCTATACCGGTACGGTAGTCTACAAGACGGCACGCTCCTCTCCAAATTAACCTTTAAACATTGATCAAGTTTTTCCTGAAGCGAGCACGGCTATCATACGGCAGCAACACCCGTACCGGTACCCCTGAACTCGTTTCTGGGTTTCGCTTCGAGGTTTTGATCAAAGGGTCCGTGTTCACCACCACCCCCAAAGGGAGAAGTTGACTTCTCCATCATGTCCTATGATCCATATCCATACTCGACCCCCAGCACTTTATCATATAGCGCTACCCGTATACGGACTCGCACAGTACCCCGTAGGGGGAATATTGCTATGGGACCAACCAGATTGCACCGTATCACGGATACGGTGCGCATCGCCTAGACTTAGGGGTGAAGAGGAAGATGCCAGCCAGCCCCCCCCCCCAGGTAAAAAGAAGAAGAAAAGAAAAAAACGTGGAAGCTGCGTACATACCGGTACTCGAGTACTCGAGTACATGAACCACTGCGCTGTACCAGTACGGTACTCTACCAAAACGTGGTCATAACGGTACTATTCCAGGAATATGTATCTACCTAACTGCTGGTAGAATTAGCTTTGGCTTTGGCGGGGCTCACTCCCTCCCCACGTCAGAAAAATAAAAGCAGTACCGCGCTGTGCCGATAACTGGGCGGTGGTGAGATGGAAGCAAACAAGGTGGCAAGCGATCAAGCAATCAAGGCATGTGCTCAAGTCTCCATAATTCAAGTCGGGTTTTAGACCCCCACGTACTATTGCGGCGATCCATCCACCCATCTATCCAACGGGCAGGATTTTTTTTGATTTTTTTTTTTTGCAGGAAGCGGAAGGAAGGAAGATAGTTCCGATGACTTTTGAGTCAACATTTCTGCCAGCTGCTGCGGTAGGGGTTATTGTCGTCTTGACTTATCCAGTGTCAATTTGCGAAATTTCAAACTGGACTAACTGCCCAGTGAATCAATGGGGACGGCATCCTAAACAGGGATTTGGTACAAGTGAGGTGATTAGTTGGGATGGTTGGTTGATCGCATCTCCCCGGTTGCCCCCTTACTGGTGCTTCTGGAGAGGGAAGGGGTTAAACAGCAGAAAGACCCTCTACCCGCATGCGACATCATACATACCCATCGTTCTGGTACGGGAGAAGGAGAGAATCCTGATAAGAGGTGTCTCCCGCACGGTGATTGTTTGAGTGAGTGAATATCGTGAGGCAGGGATCACGGCGGGTGCGTTAATATTCATAGGAACGGAAGGAGCAAAGAGAGGAGCCTACCGTACCGTGGTATGGGCACAAAAGGGCAAAACGAAAAAAAAAAAGAAAGAAAGAAAGAAAGGAAAACGAGGACACAAAAAGCATCAACGGAGTCCTCCTGGGCGGGGGCCCGGGAAGGCTGAGTGGACGGATGGGTATGTGGACGCCTCACGTTTGAGGTACTCGAGTGCAGACCCTCAGTGCGTACCTTACAGCTCAGAGCAAAAGTACTGTCCTTTTGCTCTGCATTACTTGCCTTTCAACCCTCGGAGAGCGTACCGTGCAGCGCATACATCAGACACGATGATATGATCGCGGGGAGAGAGAGAGAGGCGGAGACAGAGACAGACAGCCGCCCGTCCAAAAAAGAAGAAAGAAAAAAAGAAAAAAGCTATAGTGGTACGAAATCGAAATCGACCGGAAGGATCTTTGTACGATGCTTGATGATGATCGCTTCGCACGAGCTAGTTTAACTCGAGCATGGTACTCGTACAGGCAGATGTTTCTCCACCTTTTCGTTTTTCTCTTGGGCGGTAACGGTGCACTACCGGTAAATGAAACCCCACAACTCCATGGGAGTGTTGTAGTGTGGTGCGGTGTAATGTACTGTACAGTATTGTATGGTACCTTACTTGCTGTAGACTGGGGAAGTGGAATGAGCAGAGGAGAAAAGAGGTCATTTCGATGAGATGGCTGGCGGTGATAGCGAATGAGCTAACGAAGTAAACTGCCGGTTGAGATAGTGGTACCGGTAGCAGTTTGAGGTTCTGGTTGGCTGGCTCATGATCCGGCTGGAGGGGTGGTTTGGTTGGGTTGGGTTGGTTGGTTGGTTGGGGAGGGGGAATGCGGGAAGCGGCGGAACAAGCCACGAAGATTGTTACTGTCCCACGTGGGGTGCGCGACCGCGCGGAACAGGCAGGCAACCTCCATCATCGGCGCGGGCCGTAAAGGAACCGATTCACCTGCTGGCTGGCTTGCTTGCCTGCACCGGTACGGTACTCGAGTACCGGTATTCGCGATATGATATTGATAGCTTACCTGTGCCAGTCATTGCAAGGATGTTTTTCCCCCTTCACTCTTTCACTGCAACACTTGCACCGTACTGTGCCCGCCCCGGCACTGTGGCCTACAGTATGCTTCGTGCCCTGCATGGGAAGAGTTGAGTTGCTGTCCCTTGGGAAAGTATAATTCGTTGCCGGGAACGCTAAGCCCGTTTTGTCGGATGCTAAGAATTTCGAGGCTAACCCGGGGGCTGAGTCATTTGAGCACCGAAAAGACCGGAAGAAAAGAAGAAGAAAAATCCAATCTTCTGACCAAGCACAGCCAACAGCTGTTCAACCCGGTCTTAGCGCTCTTGGCAAAGAATTTTGCTGTTCCAGACGGTCCAAGGATACCGGTAGAGGCATCACAGTACGGTACCGTACCAGCAAAGTGCTCGAGTACAAGTGCTTGTGAAAATACATACCGAGCACTGTACCGTACTCGAGTACAGTGCAGTGCCTCTCACCCTGTTGGATGACTAATGTCACGACTTTGACTCGGCCGCGCCAGTCTATCCTTACCTGTAGAAAAGGAGGGGGGAAGAGCGTTGACACGTTACTCGACAGATGGTAGTGTATCTTTAAACAGGGGCCGATCTGAAATAGAGTACCGGTACGGTAGACCCTTCCCTTCCCCCCTCCACANTATATATAATTATATAAAAAATTAGACCCTTTACCGTATCTAAACCTGTGGAAAACTTGGTTGGCATTCGGGACGAGAAGGTCCCTGAAAATGAAATGAAATGGTGAATGGAGGAAAAAAATGCAGAAACACACAAGCATCCGAAAGGAAGAAAGCTTAAAGTCCCCCAGCAAGCAGTAAAAAAGGAAAAATGGTATGATAAAAAGACAAAAAAAAAACTAAATAGAATTTCCCCAGCCTTGCCCTGCTTTCTTTGCGATTCTGCCTATCCTATCCCATCCTGTCCCATCCGTAGAAACCAAATGACACTACAATACTCCGAGAAAAAATCAAATAAAAAAAAAGATCCCAAATCCAACCAGTGACTCCATTTGTCCAGCCCGAGCAATGTGCTATTGTTTTTTTTGTAACTTCTGTCGAGGGGACTTTTCCCCCCTCCCCTCCTCATCTCCTTCATTTCATATCCCCTTTTCTCCTATCGTACCGGACTCCAGCTACCTTTTCCTCACCTTTGACCAATCAACCAACCAACCAACTGACCACCCCCCCCCCCAAGTTCATGCTCTTTTTTTGTAATCTTTTAATGTTTGGTATTTCCTTCAAGAAAAATTCCCAGTCCTTCGCCGTGACCAAAACACCCCAAAAAAATCTCTTACACAAGAAAAAAAAGAAGAGAAAAAAGGAAAAGAAGTTAGAAGAAAAAATAAAGAAACCCTAATGCTTTTCTACTCAACTTCTTTCCTTACCCTGCCCCGTCGACTTTT